TCCTGAACTGATTTACCTTCGACCAAAAGCAAGGACGCCCATTCCCCTCACAAACCCGCCGCCATCCGACTGGCTGAGATAAAAGGAGCTGAGTTTATTTAAAGCCTTATGGATAATAGAGCGACACATAAAAACTAAATTTAATCCCAGGAGTGATTCATGCAGGAATAAAATGAATTATGACTGATTCTGAAAGAAAACATTCACCTGCAGGCCGTCAGGATGTGTCTCACTACTTCAGCTGCTGGTTTTCTTAATTAAACTGGTTTGTTTCCATTAAAGGAATGCAGGTGGAGGATGGTCAGCAGGTGGCGCTATATTTTGGCAGAGTTTTATTGCTGATTGCCCGAAAAAAAGTTAAGCCCCTGGCTGCCATCTTGGTACTCCCCACTCCCAGGGAGATGCGCAGTAAAAATGCCTCCTCTGCAGCATTTAGCTGCTAAAACAAGCATTTTTCTGTCTGCAGGAAAAATCATTTGTTGTTTTTCTCATTTGAAAAAGTAATGTGCTGAAATATATATATGTATGTGTGTGAGTGTACAGTGTAATTTTCGGACTATAAGCCGCAGGTTTTTTATGTTTAATTACCGTATGGTTCGTGCACAGAGAGGATTGTCGGGAAAGAGGCAATTCTTCCTGCTGGCGTCTCCAACGTCTCACCATTGACTCGTTGATTCTAAGGTTACGTGCAGCGGTTCTATTTCCTTCGTTTACTGTCAAATTGGCTGCCTTTAACTGAAAAGCTGCATCATATGCATTTCAACGTTTGTTTTCCAGAATGAGGGAGTCGCACAAACTGTCTTGAGCTCGCAATGTCTGTCTGCTTCCGGCAGAGATGGCAAAAGTACTCACTTTCCGTACTTGAGTAAAAGTACAGATACTTGTGTTAAAAAATACTCTGGTAAAAGTGGAAGTACTGATTAAACTTCTTTACTCAAGTAAAAGTAACAAAGTACAGGCTTGTAAATTTACTTAAAGTATAAAATTAAAGTAGAAACCACTTTTTTCATGCCGTTGCCTACATTTTAAATGGATGTCTGCCAATAGGACTAGATCTCCGTTGTGTTCATTTTCAATCATCTCGTCGTCCATGCTACTATGCTAACGCCACCGCCACCAAGCTGCAATGATTTGCCGCCAATGAATACCGCCGAATCTGTCGATTCATCTTGTAGTGGTGCGTCAAATGCAACGTAGATTCCCATCCAATTAGATTGAATTTGGTATTGATGACGTGAAAAATAATAACGGTAACTCCATTGAAATGATTCAAAACTAAAGTAACGAGACAATTTTTAAAAATGTAAGGAGTAGAAAGTACAGATATTTGTGTAAAAATGTAAGGAGTAGAAGTAAAAAGTCGCCATAAAAATAAGTAGTAAAGTAAAAATATCAGAAAAATCTACTTGAGTACAGTAATGAAGTATTTCCCATCTCTGGCTTCCGGAGGACCTCCGCATTCCCGCGTTGCGGCTACTTGTGTGTTGAAGCAAATGTGATGTCAACATGGTGGATGGTAAAATCCATAGATTTAGGTACCGTTTTACTCTGCATTGTTATATAGCCGAAATATGGTCGAAAAAGTTGTGGCTTATTGTCCAAAAATTACGGTACATATATGTATGTAATTGTGTATATATTAGGGATGGAACGATTTATGAAAACCGTCAGAACCGTTCGGTTCGACTGTCTTGGTTCGGTTCGCGTGTGTTGCGTTCGGTTCATGCGCTGCTCCTTTTTCTCATAGGTGAAGCGTTTCCACTCCAGAGCAGAAGGTGGCGGTACTGCGACCAAAGCCAACCACCAGTAGTAAACAAGAAGAAGAAGAAGCGAAGCAGCGTAGCCGGGTGTAGCAGAAAAATATCAGTTGTTGTGGAGAATTGTGTGGGTATGGCGAGTGGGAAAGAACAGGAGTTGGAAGACGCGCCAGCAGCACTTTATAGGTCTGCTGTATGGGACCACTTTGCATTTAGAGTGACCTACGATGACGGCGGGAAGAAAGCTGTGGATAAAAGTGCAACAGTGTGCAAGCATTGTGCAACACGTTTTGTTTATGCTAACAGCAACATGACCAACATGTCAGGCTAACCCCGAAATCCCTCATACTCCATCAGCGCTCCGCCCCGCTGCGCTCCAGACCGGCTGCTCAAAGCAAAGCCTACAGCCTCCACTGTGGCTCCCGTCCGCTCCGCTCTGAGTTCCTTGGAGATGGTAGAGAGCATGCGCCAGATGATTAAATTCAAAGCAGCAAAACATGCGGAAATGATCCAGGGTTTCCGCGGATCATTAAAAATAATTACAATTCATTAATTTTTTTGGATTTTTTCATTAATTTCATAAATTTTTTATGGGATTTCGGGGTAACAATCAACATATACCGAAGCGAACCGAAAACCGTGACGACGAAACCGTGAATCGAACCGAACCGTGGATTTTGTGAACCGTTCCACCCCTAATATATATATATATATATATATATATATATATATAATTTTTTTTGCGGGTGTGAATATTGGATTAAAAAAAACAGAAGTCTAACAGGAAGGTTATTCTACTTTAAGTGCAATCAGAGGGAGAGGGGGTATGAAAAATAAGTTTTGCTTCTTCATTCCCCTTTTCAGACAATTTCCATTAATGGAGGTCATTTCTCTGGCTGTGTTTGCTGACAGGTTTATTTAGTTAGTTTGGAAATAGGGGTTATCTCTTTAGTGTCTATTTGATTGATTCATTTATTGTTGTTTAAAATTGTTTCATTCATTCATTCATTCATTCATTGAACAAACCAAATGTAAAACTTCTGCTGCATCAGTGACTAAAGCATTACTTCACACTAACCCATAGAATTAGGAAAAGGATTTGATTAGCGTATAATTATAAGAAGAAAAGAACAGAGCGAAGAGGAAAATTCCTGACGGTCTGTCAGGTCCGGTCCGTCTGATTGGAGGAGCTTTAAATCCTCAATCATCTGCAGGTAATCCTGTGTAAACACACACAGCATCACTGGACCACACAGGAGACAGATGTGAACTCTCGGCGGTGTTCATCAGCTCCTCCAAACATGCCTTTTCTCCTCGCCTCCGTTTCCATGGTAACCGGTAGCCGGAGGCCATTATTCTTAATAGCTACCTCGGGCCCGTAAATGTCTGAGTGTGTGTGAGTTTTAAAGCACACGCTCCGACTCGACAAACCCCACGAGGTGAAGTTTGATGTGCTGCTCTCTCCGTGGAAACCGGCATTTATGGAATTACAGCGGAGCATCGGGCGAGTGGGAGCAGCAGGATGTTCTGCTTCTTCTCTCTCTACGTTAATCCCACCGTTTCAGCCCGCCGATCCCATTGGGTGCCGATCAGCTCCTGCACACTCACTGTGTTTTTGGAAGGTTTTAATAGCAACATGACTCTCTGATGCCATAAAATTCATCCAATAGATGAGTGGAAATAACGATAGAGGGACCTGAAGACGCCCACACTTCTTTATTTTGCTGGATATTGAATAACTGGACCCGGTTCTGCAATCATGCAAAACATATTCTGTCATTAGATCTAAGATAGAAATTAGCAGAGAGGTTCTAATAACAAGATTAATTAATTTCACAACCATCATCTGTTGGAGCTTCTCTTTCCAGCCAAGGAGCATCAACACTGAGGACCTCATAGTGCTTATAAAACATGCTAAATAACAAATAAGGATGTAGTTCATGTAGAAAATGTTTAAAAAACCTTCAGATCAAACACTAAAAAACTGATCTAGAAATAAGTGAACATTTCTAGAAATCTTCATACTTGCCTGTAACTCAAGCAGTTCAATAAGAAGATTTTGCCCAGTTTTAAGATATACCAGATAATATACACATAAAATATTCTAAATATAAAACTACTTAATCTATTAAAAAATGCTTTTACTAACTGACTCAAATGAAAGGAAAAGAATAAATAAATGTACGTATAATGTCTGGATGCTCATCCTGCAGTGACTGCAGGACGGTCATGCAGCGTATACGGCCGTCTCTCTGGAACACGTTCTCAAGATAAAGCCAATGATTGTTTAATATAAAAGTATATTTTTAATCCGACCAGAGGACCAGTAATGACTGAATTAAACTAGAGAACCAGTAAGGACTGATGAGGCTGATGTTTTACCTGAGGTAGAGAGCAGTGAATCACAGCAGCTGCACCGTCAGCGGCTAACTTAGCTGCAATCAGTTATTCTCCAACTTTTATTAGTGCAGCTCACAGCAGGACGTCATCTGCCCAGAATTTAGATTCTATTTTCATATTTCTTTGCACAAACATCTGGATGTTTCCCTTCATGTTCTGAGAATCCTTTTAAGGATAAATGTCCTAAATTTGATTCTTGTCTGTTTTTTAAACCGTAGTTTATGTGTTTCTATTCGTTTGTAGGTCAGAATTTTCATTTTCCTTTTAGAAAATAAACAGGCAATCAAAGATCTAAATAAACTGAGATAATTGTTTATGAAATGAGACGATTTCTAAACGAACATCATAGAGATGAAGTCCAGAGTAGGTGAGACCAGTTTTTTATTGCATTTATTGTTTTCCACCCAGTTCTTTTCTTCCAGGAAGATGTTAATGGTGTTTATTCTGTAGAGCAGATTCCTTCCTTCAGTGGTTATGATGAACCTACAGGGTTTTATAGATCTAGAGGACAGAGATGGGAGCTCCTTGGCTGTGGATTCCTGAGTTGGTCATCTTAACTAGATTTACTGACTCTTTTTGGAAGTCTTGATAAAGATTCATTACCAAATCAAACTCATTGTTGCCCATTATTTTGGTTTGAGGCAGTGAAGACGGGAGGCAATAAGAACAGTGAAAATATTTGGTTTGTGGGCCGCTCTTAAAAAAAAAAAAAACCCAGCAGAGGAGAGCAGTTCAGTTTATTAAATCCGGACATATTGCTCCAGGGCTGCAGGAGGTTTTTCAGACAGTAAAATGAAAAAGAGTCAGAAAGAGGAAGGCAGGGTGAGAGGAGATGGGACTCACTTTTTCCTGCTGTCGTATCGCCCCTGTGTTCCCAGGCTCTGTGGAGGAAACAGGAGGAAGTCATCAGTCACTGCGCAGGATGGCGGCCAGCGGCCACAAACACTGACACAACGCGCATGAAGAAAACAACATGAATGCATCTGGTGTGTTTAAGGTTGGAAGAACTTATTTTTTTAATCAAAGCCAAAGCTGAACGCTCTCTGCTACGGTTCCTTCAATATGAGAGTTTCATGATTCTCCATCAGCTGGATGAAGAACAGAGAGAGAAATATCCTGAAAACAACAACGTACCAAAGGTTCAGCCCTAAAAGAGCCCAGAGTCAGTGAGTGAGTCAGTGAGTGAGTCAGTGAGTGAGTCAGTCAGTGAGTGACTCAGTGAGTGAATGAGTGAGTCAGTGAGTGACTCAGTGAGTGAATGAGTGAGTAAATAACCACTCCATTTTCGTGTCGTCTACTGTTTACTGTCGTCTGCAGGCAGTCAGTTGCTGCTTGTGTAACTTTTTACCTTTTGTGTCAGAGACCAGGAAACAATGCTAAACCAACCATCGCTAAGTGTTTGTTTAGCATTACTGCTTTTTATATCCCCCCCAGCACTAACACAAAAGACGCCATGATGACTCTATACCAGCCCGTGACATCATCAGTGACCCCTCACCCCCCCTCCATGGACTGTTCTCCCTGCTGCCCTCTGGGAAGAGGCTTCCCAGCATTCAATGCAGGACCAGCAGGTTCTGCAGCAGCTTCTTCCCCACCGCCATCACACTGATGAACTGTTGGATAAACTCTAAATCTCCGACTCTGCATCACACTGATGACACCAAACCAACAAGACTGCATATTTGCAGCATAAATATTAATGCTTTAAACTTCCAGTTTAATGCATTTTTGCAACACGTTTTTTCTCCCGCACTGTTTACATTTGATCACTGTTGCACTTTAAGAAATGAAAATGTCATTAGAGCTGTAAAAAATGACAAACGTTGACTAATGCTACATTCAGACCGATGGCAGCAGAAGCAGCTGGTTTCCATGCAAAGTTGAAAGTTGATGCCCATCAAGGCGCAGCAAAAGGTCCTGCAGCGTCTAGAGCAGCAGGAGCTTCAGGAGCAGCAGCTGCTGGACGCGCCGCATCAACCAATGAGAGAAGCTGATCTGGGAGCTGGCTTTTATTATCCTGCTGCCTGCAGTTTGTAGCACAGACCTGAAAAACGCTAACATCTACTT